GGGGAAAAAAAACCTCCGACAGAACCAGGCTCAGGGAGGGACGGCCATCTGCCTCGACCGGGTGGGTGAGAGTGGGATGAATTATACAATGTAGTTTACAGTTAAACAAGTTGCCATGAAATGGCCATTTTTCAGCAAAAATGGCCCGCCATGCTCGCCGTTTTTCCAACATGGCGGATTTCCTGTCGAGTTTACAGAAACATGCTAATGGGCTTTTTTGTGCATCACAAGTTGTTACATATGTGTAGCAAATGTAGTAGTTGTAAATCAAACATAGCCCCAATGGGAATCTGTTGAAATATTGTAGGGGGCGCCGTTGAGCCGTGTTGCATTTTACAACTTGGCCCAGCCTGACTTTTTTATTCATCCTGACCTGCTCTATATGCCTACAAAATTGCGTAGCTCTAGGCCAAATGTGCTTTTGACAATTTAGAAGGTGGCGCTGTGGAGCAATTTTTCTATTGAGGTGTGTATTGTTCTTCCAAATTATAAAATTTTTCACCGGGTCTGATGTACATGGCAATTTTGGTGAGTTTTCGAGTATGTTTAGGGCCTCAAAAACGCGTGTCTTTGGCACGAATAATAATAATAATCCGAGCAGTTCCAATAGGGTCTTCGCACCCTTTTGGGTGCTCGGACCCTAATAAATATTCCTAAAGTGAAAAAGGGGCAGTAATGTGTAACTAATGCATTTGTATAAAACATATGTTTGTAACTAGGTCCCAGTGTTTCCTTGTCCTCCTCTGTGGTGGACTTTGGATGTGTTGAAGACGGAGCATCAGCTGCACAGACAGTCAAGCTGGTTAATTCTTCACCTGTTGAGGTTGTCTACCAATGGGATGTTGACTGTGGTGGAAACAGTGTGTTTAGTATCCGTCCAGCAAGTGGCACTTTGCTCCCACACAGCCACGCCACGCTGAAGGCGCTCTACAGGCCCACACAGCCGATTGCACATCACAGGAGAGTGGCCTGTCTCATACTGCACAGGGTAAGAAATGCACATGCAGACAGACATAGTGAAGGCTGCCCACCTACTCAACCAGTCTCCCTTTTTAGGAGCCTGTGTTTCTGGACCTGATTGGGACTTGTCACTCAGAGCACCAAAAACCTGCCATACTTAAACCTGAACACTTGGTTCTGTACAAACTTCACTCACCAGACGCCCTCACAGCCATGCAGCAAGACCAGAACGGACATTTGGACCAGCAGGGGGTGCACTCCTCCACGGTGGAGGTATACTTCCAAAAAGATCAACACTGACCTATTAACACGGAGTGCCACTAATGAAGGTCACAGTATCGATCTACTGCTGCCTCTCTGACTCTGTCTCTGTGTCGTCTGCAGTTAAACCAAAGGCCAGACAGTGCTGCTGTCATGTCCACCATGGATCCTTCCTCTTTGCCTTCTTCTTCATCATCCCAGCATGTCTCTGTGGTGCCAAGTGAGCTGCTGTTTAATCACAAAACAACATCCTGGTTGTCTACGTCGTGTGCTTCCTCTCAGTCCGTCTCCATCACGAACAACACCAGAGGAAAACTGGGGTACCCTGTTTACCAAGGATATGCTTGAGTATGAAATGTGACTCTATTTTCTGTTTGTTTCGCTGTCCAGTGTGACTTATATTGCACCCGGTTCTGTTCCAGCCTAGTGTGGACCGTTTCCCGAGACTCTCCATTCTCCGTCTCTCCCTCTCTGTGTGACCTGGCCCCACTGAAGTCCACCTCGTTCAGAGTGACGTATGAGCCGAAGCAGCTCAACAGCCTGCATGGAGCTGAACTGGAGTGCTTTGCATACTCCAAGGTAGTGTTATATATTATAGCAGACAGTCTCTTACAGCAACTGTTCTTATCTGAATTAATATGCTAACAAGTGTTGTTTTAACCATTTGTCTTACGCTCTGGTTGTAAGAACCAAACAGTGTCGTGATTTTTCTGCCACACTTACCTGCAGGACGGTCATGATGCAGGTGAGCCACCGGTGAGTCCACCCTGGTGTGTAACTGTCAGAGTCATTGGCCACTCCTTTCAGCCCGGCAAAGAACACTTCCTCCCATGCTGCACCCTGAAGCCCCCTCAAGTGGTGAGACACCAGCACAACCAAAGACTAACACAAGTGTTGTTAACCCATGGACATGTTGCTTCAGTTAATGCATCTTATTTATTACAAAAACGTGTGAAACTAAAACATTCATGTGAAAACTTTGTAGAAGACTGTATGACTCTGTTATACACTCAGAGAGGATGCTGTGGTTCCAATACTATCTTGTTCTCGTTAGGTTTTTCCAGCCCAGAGTGTTGTTTCCCATCGGACTGTGCTATTTCAGAATGATGGAGACTTGCCCCTCACTTTTTGTCTGGACCACAGCTCAATCCCCGCTGGGACCGAATTCTTGTTTGTAGAGCCGAGCTGCGGTTTGATCCAGCCGAGGGATTACCAAATCCTCACCCTCAGAACAGCTCCGTCAGAAGAGAGTCCCAAACAGGGCTTTAACTTACGCCTGCAGCTCAATGCGGCTAAGCTCACGAGGGTATGATGTACACTGCACACGGACACGGAGCAAAGTTAATCTCAGTCACACTGTTCCTGCTAGTTTTCCATTCTGTGGATGTCTCTGTCTCCTTTAGGAAATTACTGTTGTGAGTGTGGTGGAAAAGCCATGCATGTCTCTGGAAGGAGGCAGCAGTTTGTATTTCCAGCCAACAGCTGTGGGCTCACAAACCCGGCGCACTCATCACATCAGGAACCTGAGCCGCGTGCCTATACGGTCGGCTGGCTGATTTATTATCTCGTTGTTGTTATTCTGCTCCTGTTTTCTGACATTTTTCAGTGTATTGTTTTGTAGTCTGGACTTATCTCAACATCATTAATCTTGTCTACAGCTGGCTGTCTGTGATTGTCCTTCATGATAGGTTCCAGTGGAGCATTCCAGAGCCAGACCAGGAGCTTATCTGTGTTGAACCAGATGGTGGTGAACTGCATCCCAATGAGAGCTCAGTGAGAGATGGAGTCTCACATGCTGTACATTTCTGTAGACAGTCACTTTGCAGTTTATATAGAAAAATAAATAACTGAGTTGTTTGTTTCTGTTTCAGGTTCAGACGTGGTGCTTCAGTCCACCAGCAGAGGAAACATACACACTCAGCCCGACTCTGGTCTTCTGGCCGATTCAGACCGACGGATCTGATGAGTCACACCTGACCCTGAAAGTAGTGGGAATGGGCTCCCAGGGATCCATAGAGGTGGGACTGTCATCGTGTTTGTGGGATTTCGGGTTGTGTTTTCATATAGTTGTATAGATTGTAGTTTATGTGTTTCCCTCCCAGGCAGAGGAAGCAGTCCTGGATGTTGGGGAGATTCTGGTCGGCAGCTATCGCTCCTTTGAGGTTCCTCTGGTGAACAACAGCCCCTGTCCTGTCTCCTTCTGTCTCACTGTACAGCAGATGCTTCTGGATGATGGACTGGCTCACGACCCCCAAACTGTGCACAGTGGTAATGTCTTCTGTGGCCTTGTTCATGATTCTTTTATACACGCAGGATATTCATCAGTTTAACTTTAGATTGTGCATCTGATAGTAAATCCAATAGACTGCAGACTGAATGTGTCCTGTCTGGTCCCTTCAGCCCTACAGCTGGACTCTGAGAGGGGGACCATCCCCTCACACTCCACAGTGCAGCTCCGATCCATTGTCAGACCCCACAGTCAAGCCCAGTATCTCTGGAACATTAGCTATCAGACAGTAGATGCCAGAGGTAAACACAAAACACACACAGTATCCACAGCTGAACCTATTCCAGAATTTACTTGTCAATACTTATTACATAAAACTTTCTGCTCTCTGTCTCTCTCTGTCGATCTTTTTCTCCTCAGGGTTTGTGTCGTCCTCTCCTCAGACGCTGTGCCAAGTGCGAGCTCAGGGTGTGTTTCCCACCCTTCAGGTGATGGATGCATGTGGTGGTGGCAGCGTGGCGAGGCTCAGCAAGATGCATCTGTGGAAGCTCTTCTCATTGGACAGTCTCAATGAGCATTTGTTGTCCAGCCCCTCTCCTGCAGAGCTCATGTTTAGAACCCCCACCAGGCACAGGTTAGGAGCTGGATTAGAAGCAGCATAACCTCAGATTGATGTCATAGTTTAATGTCATTGTTATGATTATTGTTGCAATTAAAGTTTTTATTTTACCTGCCTGACAAATATCACAATTCACTGACTAGTCATGTTGGTGTTTGCATGACCTCGTTTCCTCTTCCTGTCTTTAGTTTCCGCAGCAGTCCTTCCATCTTCACCAAAGCCATGCTGGATTTCAACTTTAGCTCTGCGACTATGAATTCAAACCCCTCACGTTTTGTGTTGATGTTCTACAACCCTGGATCGATTCCCGTGAACTGGTATGTGAACAGCAGACTGGACAAAGTGGAATAAAGGCAAATATCACAGCACTGTGCAGTGAAACAGATCTGACAGATGTGCACATCTCATCGTGTTAGCATTTTACAGTCTGCACTCATCAAGGAGTGCTTAAAGCAGAGTTTTGTAGAAACAGTCTGAAGTGACACTGACTGATCTTCTTGTGCTTCCTCATCAGGGCGTTCTTGTTTCCAGAGGACCAGCAGATAGAGCTGGAGCACTGGGCCGTGAGCGGAGAGTTCAGCAGCACTGAGCTGCACCAAATGAAAGTCAGACATGTCATTATACAAAAGTTTTCTGAATGTTAGGAATCAGTTCACGATTAAAATAATAATATTACAAGTTCAGATTATGGCTGACCAATAATTCAAACTGCTATCGTAACCACAGTATGGTCACGTGCAGCATCCAAACAGCAGGAGATATTTTTGATAAAGATTAAATGTGTCACAGCGTAGGGCACGTGTGTGTGAATGGGTACATAAGAAACATATGGTAAAGCACTTAAGGTCAAAAAACAAGTGCTTTACAAGATTTTTTATTAATTTAAAAGATATTTTTGAGGGGCCTTTCTGCCTTTAATGTATGGGACAGTGAAACATTGGGAGAAGATTGGGGAAAGGACATGCTGTGTCGGGGACTAGAACCCCTGTATATGGATCACTATCTGGCTATCTGCTTTACAAGTTTTAACCTTTTACCTTTTACCAGATCATTATAACTTTAACATTGTGATACAACAGAGACACCTCAGCCTGCAAAGCATATTTTCTAGACATAAAATAACATGAGGTGGAAAAAAGTCACTGTTCCCTCTAAAGTTGTGTTATATCATATGTATATAATCACCATATTATTTTATTCTTTTGCATATTGTTTAGCCCTAGTTCAGATGAGACAGAGACACAAAACACAGATGTTTGATCTTTCTGACAGGTGCAGGACAACCAGCTGTTCAGCATTTCCCCTCGCTCTGGCACTTTGCTCCCTGGCCACAGGAGGGCAGTACACTTCAGCTACAGGTCAGATCTGATTATTCTGTATAAGTCACAGAATCACGTTAAATCAGAGAATTATTAAGAGACAGTCTGAAGCAAGTTAGGTTTTATATAATTAGTGAATTATGAGGATTTTCCATGACTGCATATCATGTGTTTGTAGCAGAATTTATCTCTTTTATCCGACTGCACTGATGTGATGCATAACCGTTAAACTCTCCCCTTCACAGTCATGACTTTTCTGGGACTCATCGATTACCGGTCGTGTTCAAACTCTCTCATGGCAGAGAGATCTTGGTGAGGCTGTATCAGGCTTTTATACTTTACAGGAAACAATACAGTAAAAATAAATAACTTGTAGAATCAAAAGTAAAATTAGTCTCTATGCTATTTTACATTCATTTATTTTTTTTGCTGTATCTTAATGTTGTCATGTGCTTTATGTGCATGTGGTGTGTTTCTGTGTGCAGCTGAACTTCCACGGGGTGACAGTGGACAGAGATGCACCATTTCTCCACTTTGCCTCCAATACATGTGTCTTTACCTCTGTCCCTACGGGGGACTGCAGTCCTCCGAGGCAGCAGGTATGTTTAGTTTAGTCTCTTACATTACGTCCATACAGTGAGTGGCCTGATTGTATTGTGCTTTATATGATGAGAAAGTCATCTGTCAATATTACAATTTAAACTTCTACAAAGGTCCAGACAGGATGTGGGACTCGTGACGTGTTTCATTACTCTGCAGGTGTGTGAGTTACATAACGGTGGTGCTGTCCCGGTCCGTTATGAAGTGGACACAGCTGCGTTGTCACAGCTTCAGGTGGACAACTTCAACCATCCGCTGCTCTGTTGCCTCAATCCAGAGGGACGAGTCCTTCCTGGGAAGACAACCAAGCTGGAATGGATCTTCTCTCCACTGGAGGCTAAGATGTACCAAGTATGCTTTGAGCTCTATCTTCTGATCATTGTCCTATTATTTCCTCTTTTGCATAGTTGTTATTAAGCTCAGAAATCAAGAGGAATCATAATGAACAATAAGTTTTATGACAGTCAGTCTAGTTTAATATGTTTTCTTTGCATGATTATCAGGCTGACAGTTTAGCAAAGCATCAAGAATATATAATTAAAAGATAATCATTGAAATAAAGAAAATTAAAAAGAAAAATACTGAATTTATTAGAAGGAAAGATTATGCATATAACTGTTTTTTTTCCATAGAAAGCTAATTACATTTTCAATCTTAGTTCATGATTTATTCCTTTTTTTCCCCTTGTATCACTAGATGGATGTTCCTATCCACATCCAGGGTAGGGACGTGACACTGGTGAGATTCGAGGGATGTGGGCTTGACTCGAGGTCAAACCCACTGACCAGCAGTGACAGTAAGGCTTGTGCACCGTGTGTCCAGAGGGTGCCCTTCCCAGGACAGGTGAGAACACCTGAACAGTTAAACCAAGCAGATACTGACTGAGAAAAAATGAGTGTAAATGAGAGTAAAACCCTTGAGCTGGACAGACTTCTTGTCTTTTGCGTTTTATTTAAATAATAACACATCATTATGAGTATGTGATGATATCAGCTTGTGTGTGTTTGTGTGTGTGCAGGTACTGTTCCTGTCTGAAGACACTGTCTCTCTTGGCCACATTCCTGTGTGCTCACAATCTTCAAGAACTGTCTTCCTCACCAATGTGTCCTACACAGACTCTGTCCACTACATGTGGGAGCTTCCCCAGCAGGGAGACCAACAGGTACAGGACAGTGTGCAGGTAGCACACGTCTGTGTTCAGGTTTGGAGGGAGAAAGTTGATCCTCCCTTTCTGTCTTGCTCTGTTTGTATCTGCCAGATGAGTCGTACGTACAGATTTTGAGGCTAAAGTGTCATTTTATCACTACTGACCAGTGTTACATGTGCTGACGTGTTGTGTCAGGTGGTGCAGATCCATCCAGAGCGAGGCGGTCTCCGTCCAGGGGAGTGTGTCCTCTGTGCTCTGACCTTCACTTCTTCAGACTACCCCACCGTTTATCAGCTCGACCTGGTCTGTCAGGTACCACAGCAGGGCCAGGGTAGATTCAAAGCTGCATGAAGTTCCAAAAATAGATCAATTTCAGCACCAGTTTAGCAGCCTGCTTCTTCCAAACATGCTGTGTCTCTTACCTTTTTCCTCCAGGTCAGTCAGGAAGCTGAGCTTGTTGGGTATCGTGATGCTCTGCAGCGCTGGGAAGAAGAGAGACAGCGAGATGAATTCACAACCACAGACCAGAATGTTACGGAGAGCCGAAGAATGTTGATCGACCAGGTCTGACTTCACAGAAAAATGTCAGTTCTGAAAATGTGTAACAGTCTTTTCACAGTATTCACCGTTTGTGTTCATACAGGAACCTCCTGCAGCTCCTGCAAGCAAAGGGCCTCCGCTTAGAAAATACAAGGTTGTTTTATGTCCTTTCCATGTTATAATCATTTAAAGGCATCTATAAAAACATGTAAACCTCTGAGAACATAACTGTTATCTGGTCTTTCCTCCCAGACTCTTCCTCCTATCTGTGCCAGCAGTACTTATGAAACCGTGGCCAGTATATGCACCAAACGAACAAGAGCTGAACGGAGGCTGCAGCGAGAAACACCAACAGTATGGAGGCGCCCTGATCCACCACAGCCCACTCTGCTCCACCTGGCAGTTACAGCGCACTCCCATGGGCGTCTGGAGTACTGCACTCACCTGCCTGACCAGTTTAATCAGCGTTACAGGTAAAACCTTTTAGAGCACACACTGAACATGACTGGCTATAATCCTGGTTCAGTTGATTCTTTTATAATTATTTTCATGTTAGAAGTTTAGGAAATTTGCATCAAAAATTAGGACCCTGATCTTCTGAAGCAGTCATTTTTCATCTCGGCGGCCTTTTGCAGATTCCTCCAGTCAGAGAAGAACCAGCAACCTGAAAAGATCTCCGTCCCTGCTGGACCGTCTACGCTGACACACGGTCCTGACAAAGACATCCTGGTGCTCACACTGACCTCCTTACTAAGGTAGCACCCAGATAAACAACCAGTAAAGACCAACACTCAGACATTCAGCCTGACTGTTTGACTTCAATACATTGAGTTGCTGATATTAGGTCTAATGTTTGTGCCATTCTGGTGATGGTTGGATTTACACACTTTGTCTTTCCAGGAACATACTTGATGATTCAGCCTTTGTTCGGTCTCTGATTCCTTTGGCCTCCAAGCCCCACACCTACCAGCCTACAGAAACCACTTCCTCTCATTGCGCATCCTTTCCATCCTCCCCCCGTCCTCCTGTGTGTTCTACCTCGTCTTCTCCTCGTGCTTCACCCCAACCTCCAGTTCTGCTGAGTGGAGACAGACAGAGGACTGCAGGAGGCTCAGGAGCTGAAGCACAGCGCTCACCGCAGGCTGAACGCGTACCTGCTGACATGACTGAAGATGTTTTATTGAGCACCCTCCAGAACCTGATGATGGAAGCTGTCAGAGGAGAGCTGGTCCTCACAGCACACCCCCACACCGTTATCTCGCCACCTGCGTCGCCCAGGTGAAGACAGACACACACACACTGTACACACACTGACAGTAGCCTGGCCATCGTTACCTTCTGTTTGTTGCTTCATTATACCGAGTGGTTAACATATGGTGTCCTCCATTAGAAGCAGAAGGACGTCTGAAGCCGTGGCTGAGGAACACAGCGTTTGAAGAAGAGGAAAGGCACCAGCAGAGACTTCAGTCAGCTCCTCCACCTGCCGTCCCAGAGGTCTGTCGTGTCCACGGCTTTTACTAAAATCCACCTCATTATTTTGCCCAACTTGACTCCAGATCCCACACAGTGTCACACACCTTTTATTCTCATCAGTCCCACCAGTTTTATCTGTGCTTTTTCTAGTCTTTCCAGCCTCCACTCTCACAGACATCTCCATAAAAATGTGAATAAAGGGGAGAGATGATGACTTACTAGAGCTGGGGTAGGAAATGTTTTCACCACCGACTGCTTTAAATGAGTTCACAAACAACAAAGAGCTTCATGTCGTGGCACTGAATGCTTCTCTTTCTGCTTTCTTTTGATATGCTGACATGAAGAAATGTACTGTGCGTGCCGAATGACAATGAAAACATGGACTCTTAAGCAGATTTACCCTCGATTCATTCAGCTCTGGGTCCTCGGTCCATCTGTTCAGCGTGTGTCTGATCCCATCAATAGAAACGTGGTTAACTGTGCAGAAGGAGAAGATCTTATAAGCTGATAACTGCAAAATGTAAACCAATTGAGTATATTTTTTTTACACAAACAGACACGTTTGTTTTTGGTTCTAGACATTGCACACGTTCTCTGATCCGCTCCAAGTGTTTTCTGTTCTGAAGAACCGACCACCAGTCCATCAGATACTGTAAGGCGCTTTATGGTTTACATTTTTAAATCAAATAAAAGCATATTGCACATCATTTACATCTCGTGTACATTTTAGATTCATCTTTGCATCCGAACAAAGTACAAAAAGCACAACTGGGGAAAAGGCAAAAGCTGAAGCCATGTGACTGTCAAATTTATTATCAATATATTATATTCTGTGTTTAGATTAATCACATAAATAGTGGCTGTCATGTCATCGTGGATGTTGTTCATCATGAACAACTGGATACAAAATAATTATTGTAGATATTAAAACTAATAATAGGCCATAAAGTTATAATATATGATATATGGGAGGCATTCCTCCAGCTCCTCTGCTGTAGGAGCTTCATCTTTACAGCTACATCCAGTGTCTTTATTCCTTCAACAGCTCTGATACGTTGGTGACGTGTGATTCTCCACTGACACGTCTCTACTTTGCTGCTGAACATAAGGCTGCTGTGTCGCTGAATGTCGGGCACATGGGAACCAACAACAAACTATCTGTAGTCACTGTGCACTTCCAGGCTTGTATCTGTTTACTGGACACCAAGATGAGCATAGTCCCAGTCCCAGGTTTAGAGATGTTTATGTCACTGAGGACATGTGAGGTAGATTGTTCCTGACTTTGTAGGTAAGATCAGCAGCTAAACTTGGAGATAGCAGGAAAAATCTTGTCATGAAGATACTGAATCCTTTCCTCATGAGTTCTCAGCATCTCAAATTCAAAGTAGGGGATCTGTGAGAGAAAAGGAGAAGACATCTGGATCAGAACGAGAGACAAAACCTTTAAAATTCCTTAGACAAATAAAAAAGAGGGACACAAACCCCCCATTAGAAAACATTTCATAGCATCTGCATAAAACGCTTGAGGAAAATGAAACTACAAACTGAGGAACTTGTGAGCATGAGGCCAATTACGAACCACGTCAACAATAACTCTCTCTTAGTTCATCAACAGTAAATTAGCAGCTAACACATCTGTGATCTGTCGTTGCAACGTGCAGTTTTCTGATGACGTTCACCAGTGATGTCACTCATACCTGCACCACCTCGTAGCCCATCCTGTGCAGGTGTCTCCTCTTCGTGGCCTCCTTCCCCAGCAGGTGGTTCGTATTGTTGCAGAAACGGTTCTGTCCATCCACACACAGCGCAATTCTATAAATGGACACGATGTAGAAAAAATTATTCCAACAATTAGAGGAGGTGCAAATTAAATCCAGCCAACCTGAAACTCTGAACAGGACACGGCTGAACTTTCTGGTATTCGTATCTACGTCCAGATAGAACTTTCAGCTTGATGTCTCGCCCATATCTCAACCTGTTCACCTATTGATGGGACTCTAACTACACCAACCTGAGCAGCTCTTACCTTTTGTAGGTGTGATCCCACTGAGACGGAGGCAGAACAAACCCCTTCTCGTCGAGGCAGAGCTCCACATCTGGACAGAAAAGGGAAGCAAAGCAACATGTCCATGAGTACGCAACAAGCACAGAGGTGCAACAAGTCAAGTGGAGCTTTAGTAAACCACTTTTAAAATTCTACGATGCACCATAAAATGTTCCCATGTTATATCTCACACCAAGGTCAACATGCAATATATAGTAATGTATTAATCTGGGATGATACAGGTTCTACATCCCCCTTGTTTTAAATCCCATATTTACGTGACACATGTGCTCGTAGCTTACCTACAGTGTACCCGTTGTGAGTAAAGATTCTGGTAGAGTAAAACCTTCCCCCCAGCAGCTGAGCGAGTGGTCCCCTGACTTGTCTGTACAACAGATTCTCCATCGGCGTCTCAAAGGCCTGGTCCGCCGAGGAGAACGTCCTGACGTGGTGGTAGAAGGACAGCCTGGGGCCCTGATGGGGGAAAGCATGACGGTGAATTCATTACTGCTATTAATTACCCAACTCAAGGCAGTGTTTAATAAGTTAGCTGACACTCAGGGAATAAATCCCATTTAAAGTCACAAACACTACAAACCCTTCTCCACATGATGCTCACCCAGTAGCACGTGCACTCCAACACGGTGGAGAGATGGAGCTGTGTCAGCTGTCCCAAGGCATTCTTGTTGAATGGCTCTTCCTTTGCTGTCGGTCAGACAAAAATAGCTTACGTAAGAGACGTTACGTAGCCTGTTGCATATGAATCACATACACTGGCATGTTTGCACAACATGTGTCGGTGTGGCTCTGTCAAGCACAGCGCTCACTTTGTACATGTAAAGATGTGAAGTTACAGCTGGAACACAGAGGAGTGTTCCTGAACCTGTCCTTCTCACCGTCCTACCTTGCAGCCTCTGTAGGAAGAACGGGCTGAAAACTCTGGACATGTAGTTGAGCGGGAAGCGCTCCAGGTGGATGCAGGCGTGCAGCATGTCTATGAGCGAGCCAGGCTGGAACTGGGAAAACGTCGTCGACAAAATGCTCTCGAGCTTTTTAAACATCTCACTGGAGCACTGGGGAGTGATGGAGACACACCAGAAGGAAACAGATTATAGCAGCTGTTAGGCAACTACAGCTAACTTCAGCCTCATTAAACTGATGTCCAGGTGTGCTTCTCAGCATTTAGTCCTGATCCAGAGTTAGATTTGGTAAATTCATTCTTAACTTGTGACAGTGTGTGAAACTAATTTCTGTTGAAGAAGAGCAGAAATTGTTTTTGAGAAAATACATGCTTTAGATTTGAGTTCCAGATGCTGATATTCTTTAGGAGCCATTAATATCTGAGTTTCAGTTTCAACTGGGGGTTTGTTGAAACTAAAACTCAGGTGTTAACGTCTCCTTCAGGATATCAGGATGTGGAACTCCCAACCAGTCAGTCAGAGCTGATGAAGCCTCTTGGATGAAGGTGGAACGTCTTCAGAAAACTCAAGCAGGTCCAGTTGCTACGATTAACCTACGAGAACAACCCTGACCTGGAGGACTGAGGATCTTCACAGACATGCTTTAGATGTGTTTCCAGGTTCATGCAGTGTTACAGTATGACAACAGAACACCAGCCTCACCTGTGGCAGGTAGTTGAGTCGCCCCATGGCTACTATCTGCTTGGCTATCTGGGGGGTGCTGTGCTTCTCAGCGCTGCAGACAAAGTTCTCAGCCACAGCTTCAAAGAGCGTCTCGGAGCGACAGCCCATGTGCAGACAGTACTCCATGACAGTGCTGATCACCTCAGGGTCACACGTTCCCAGCCTCTCTGAAAAACAGAACGACCTTCTGTGATTCCCCCGTCCCATTGTGAGATACAACATCCTACAGAAGTCAGACATGTACCAGCTCTAGACCGGTTTATCTACGACCAGTACGGCCCAAGAACACACCTGGCAGGTGTCTCTCCATAGCAGCCAGGAGCTTTTCATCATGCTGTCCCAGAGTCATCAGAGCAGAGAGCACCTTAATTATTTCATCATCACTGAAAGCTTTGAAGACCCGCGACGCCCTGTGACACAGTCTCAGCACCAAGGGGATGGCCTGGAAACACAACATTCATCTCAGTATTAAATCCCCTCAGAACACTTCACACAGGAGGATGGAGCCAACACAGTCATGATTTAAATATGGAATACAAGCAGATTCACAGTGCACTGAGAGGACCTTAATGACAGAGTCTAGAGCTGTTAACAGGCTGTTTGGTGTCATCATGTGTTCAGGTCTGTTAGTGAGAGCTGCTGGAGGTTCTTTGTTTCTACCTGACTCTGTTGTAGCTTCAGCAGCGACTGCAGGATGTCACTGACTTGACCTGCCCTCAGCCGGTGAACCAGCCTCTGAGTGTGTCTGTGCAGAGCAGAGAGCATCAGTGCCTGCTGCTGGCTGGCAGGCTCGTAGACCAGAGGGAGCAGGGAGTAGACGGCGGCCGCCTCGCTGGGAGACACAGCCTCCTCCTCTACAGCAGCACCTATAGAGTCCAGGACCGCGGTGACCATGGGTGACTGGCCGCCTTCCAGGGCACATGCCACCTTCCCCAGGTGGCAGAGCTGCTTCACCCCTACGTCCCCGTTGGAGAGGAGCTCCAGGCACTCATTCATCAGCCTGAGGACCGAAGGGCTGTGGGCCTCCAGGCCGAACTCAACACATGCTCCGAGTAAGGTGGCGAGTCCCTCTGCTCTGTCATCGCAGGAAAGGTCTGCCAGCCTGGAGCACAGCTCAGCGATGACATCCTCCTCAAACAGAGACTGGATGTTGACCAGTGCAGCCCCGTTGCTCCGTGGTTTGGCGTATGGAGTGTATGGAGAGAGGGGTGGAGCTGCTCTCGCTGCTGTTTTAGGTTCCACCCGTCTTCCAGCCTGGTATATGGCCAGTGCATCCTCTGTTTTCCCAGGTATGGGCGCAGGCGTGGGGGGAGAAGCTGCGGTCACCATCTGCACCGCTGCGTTACGGGTTCTTTGGAAATAACGCACGCCGGTTACGCACGGTGGCTGAGCTACGACGGCTCTGTCCGCATGTGGACATCTGCCCACGGAGCTGCAGAGACTTAAACTGCGATTCAGTAGAAAGCAGGCCGAGGCGTGCTGGCACAGAACTCTGACAGACGATGAGACGCACACGATGGACTTCATGGTTGCGTAAAGACGCTCCTTCCTGTCAGAACAGCACACAGACCAGGTACAAGCCCGTCAGAACATCTCCTCACACACACTGAGTTCACTGACAAGCCAAAGAATGAACTGAAACTTTGTCACTTACTGCAAAGAAAACATGCGCAGAAGGAAACGGAAACGACGGAACCAGCGTGATCGTCACAAGCTGCTGCTCTCCAGAACCTCAGCCTTTACAAGCTTCTCCAGAACTCACAGGATGTTCGAACCTCCACGGAGACAGCTGGACCTTCAGGGGAGCAACATGTAACACAAGTCCTCCACGGTTTGGTAACAAAGTTGTGTAAGACGACATGTGCGTCTCGGTGCTGCCGCTCTGTGGCCAAAGCGAGCACTGCAGTCTGGCTGCACATTACATACTGAGGCTGCTCCTGATTGGTGCAGACCTGGTGGGCGGGGCGGAGACCTGCTCCTGCTCCGGATGTGGACGCCACAGACTGGACACAAGCTGATTATCTCCATTAAGTAATAAGAAATCGTTAAGATTTTATTCATTAACATGTTTCATTTTAAACAGTTTGATCTGCTGCCATCAGGAAAACGTTTCCGGAGCGTTAGAGGAAGAACCTCCAGACTGATGAACAGCTTCATGCCTCCAGCTGTCAGGATGCTGAGCTGCTGGTCCAGATACACAAACACTAGTTTATTTAAATTGCTTTAAGTTATTGGATCCTGAAGAAGCGCTCTCATCCTGCCTGTCCTGCTGTGGATGCCCAGAAACACGACAATAAACTGGATTTAATTTGATTAATATCATTTAATGACATCATAATTTTGAATAGGTCATCAGGTTTGGATTTATACATGCTAGTAAACTGTAAATAATGGACTTTACTAAAGATTCTTTGCATTTTTTTAAGGTTAGATGGGTGTCTGAGAACCTTACTGATGAATTTAGGAGATAAAAGACAAGTGAGGAGCAACATCTCAGTGACCTGAAGAGAAATGATCAGTGATTAATTAACAATGATGAAGCCATTTGTTTAAACTTCTAAATCCTGAATTATTTCATAACAGAAAGTCATCTTTTATTCCAAAGTGAATTGAAAAACACACTCAACTTAATGCAGCATCATGAGGAGTCATCGGTATTAAGTTGTGTATAAATGAGTCACTTCACAGCAGCATCATAATTTAACCTTTTTAACTTCTGTGTTTATATATTATAGTAACACAGAGATGAACAAAGATGACTGCGTAGTTTATGGCAGGACGACATTAACAGCCAGAGATGAACACATGCTGGATTGTTGGGTCCAAATGAGCTTGTTGTGGTTTTCAGAACGTGTACCAGATTTAGCACATTTAACAATATTGTGTTGAGTTGTTCCCTATTAAACATGTCATTCAATAGGACACTTTTTTTTAAACTGTGCATATCACTATTCCTGTCTAATATTTACTTCCTCAAAAGAAAACTAAAACCAAAGCAGCTGACTGCAGATAAAACATCTGATCTGTTGAATGCATTTAATGACTGAATTGATTGCAGTTGTTTAGATTTGGCACAAACGTTTATACGTGTTTGTGAATGTGTGTTGCTCAGATTTGTGCAATTTCCCCTAAAAGTGAGTCAGAATGAACATCAGCCGTGACTAACCTCCACTTCAGCCTCATGCTGTCGCTGTTTGTTCATCATTCTCCACAAGATGGCGCTATACACAAAGAAACTGACCCGACTCAGCTCTTACTGCCTCAAGTTACAGTTGAGCCTCATTTCATCCACATTTCAGGGAGGGTTCATGCTGTGATTAGCAAATGTTACAGTAAAGAGCTGAGAGACAGAATTAATGGTGTTCTGTTCAACGGACGACCCGAATGGGACCAGAACAACTAGAAAGAGTTTATGATCAGTGTTCTGGTAGCTTTGGATCTCATGTCTGCTGTCTGAGATCAGTCCAAATGTTGCAGAGCACATGTTTAGGAGGACTTTAAAAGATGTTGATTTTATTATACATGCATACATTGTTCTGGTGCTGAAGTCTGAGACGGTCCGTATGGGAATGTTCCTCATTTAAAAAAGCTTTGTCTGTGTGTCTGTGTGTGGCTGGCAGCGAATAGAGACGGATCCACAAGTCATCTGTGCCTGCTATCTCCAAGACANTACACCTGTGCTGTGGTGCGTGGGCGTGCATCATGTGTGCGATAGAGATCAAGCAGGGACAAAACAAGAGCAAAGAAGCCCGGTTCGTCTTTGAGTGTGTGTGTGTGTGTGTGTGTGTGTGTGTGTGTGTGTGTGTGTGTGTGTGTGTGTGTGTGTGTGTGTGTGTGTGTGTGTGTGTGTTACCCATCTGGCTGGTCCCGGCAAACAAGCAGCAACACCACAAGCCCTCTGGACACGAGCTGGAAAAAGAAGAAAGAGCAAAAAAGAGCCTGAGCTTTCAAATGGTGAGCAGGGCAGACGAGATAAGATCTGTTATAATAAAGTTACTGTTCTGCCAGTAATGCTGATGAATCACACTGAACAGTCACTCTGGCTGTGTGTCTCTCTGTGTGGGTTGTGTTTTATAAAGGAAGTGGAAGAATCGATGCTCCAAGTTTTCATTTCTCGTGAAAAACCCGACGGAACATCTGCGATATTTAAAAATCTTTAAATCAGCGGCAATGAAATAAAAAATATGTCTTTACAAGCGACTCAAACGATGCCTGTCTGGAGTTCAATCAGCTCGTTTTATTATCAGAACACCTCATCATGCTAATATCGACGGTATGTTTTGGCCGGTGAAATTAAAAAACCCAACCAAGAACAAATCACAAAGACAAAAAAAAACTTGTTTTACTAAATGAAAATGGCAGAAGTGTTGGAAACTTGCAGGATGTGGGTGGATGTGCCGGCACACACGTTCATCGATGTACCTACGAACACACAGTGTGTCAGAGCAGCACCGGCCACGTGCTGCCTAAATCCAGTCTAATAATCAGGAGTCCAGCAGTAACGTTATCATTACTCACAACACGTCCACTCGGTCCTCGTCTTTCTTTGGGGTTATTGGTGGTGATCAAAAATAGACCAAATGGGGAATTAGGAGAGTGTGGTGGTTCATCAAATTTCAGCTTGAAGCTTCACAGAAGATCTTTAATGGAATCTGTGCGGCCAAAATTATGGAGATTAAAGGACGGAAATGTGAGAAACATCTGAACCATCAGTTTAACTCATGTACCAGCGGTTGGGTCTTCCTCGCTAACAGCAGTGAGTGTTGCTATGCTCCCTGCAGCTCTGCTTCTGTTTGAAAAGGCTTATTGGGTGCTGAAGGCTGATGTCACAACCTGTAAAAACACCGACTGATAATGGCCTCCATGCCGTACAGTGAAGGCAACGCTGCTTAGTCCACTCATAAGCTGTGTATGTTGGGTAGCTGCTGGACAGGATGGGTTTCTTCTATCTACAACACTGACTGTTTGAGCTCATTGGATCAGGAGCACGGCTCTGACTCAACATCTGGCTCTTCAGGTCATAAAGGCTCCACCTGGTGACCAGTTATTGATCAGCTGTATCTCAGGTGGCAGCAGCTGCCTGCTTTGGCTGAATGTTCTCTGTGAGAGCAGAGACAGTGAACTTTAACTGTACAGTCGTGGCTAAAGCTGAAACACACTCGGTAAAACTGAGAGGAGCTACAGATCAGATCAGATCAATCACTACGATTTCTGCCATCTAAGTGTTTCACTACGAGTAAACGTTGGAGGTAAAGGAGGTACGAGAAAATGTAGGCCGCTAGAAACGTTAAAGTTAAAAGTAGTCATTATGAAGCAGCTCAGTTCTGCGTTACTCGTGCTGACCTCAGCAGAACCTCGTGATCAGTGGGTTCGCTGATCGTCTGTCTGTCTGTGAGAGAAGACACTGGTCAGGGGTGAGGATGCACTCTGAGCCCCTCTAGTTATGTATGTCTTCAACCCAAGAAAACAAGCTTCCTCTGGAGACCTGCATGACTACTGATAGAAGCTGTTGTGTTCCCCGTCTTTGCTGATATATTGCTGCTTGTCTTGGTAACCTGCTGCCACCTGTAGATCAGAGGAATGATGGTTCTGTACTGGCCGGGACGTCGACTGCATCCCTCACATGAACAGACTGAACTGAACTTAAATATATTACTTGAGTAAATGTAGTTGAAGAGTTCATTTGCAAAAACAGACAACTTCATCTTCACAAACCTTCAGAAAACCCACTTTTCCATCGTCTACCTGAGACAATATCAGTTATCTCTATTTCTGTCATTTCTGCTGAGTCAGATCCACTCAGCTTCAGTTTGATCGACATTATCTCAAGCAAACAACAAATAAATAGGTTTTCTGAAAATCTACAGGAATGGAGTTATCTGTTTTTCACATGAACTCTTCAGTTACTTTCCACCGCTGCTGCTGGGTCGGGTTTACTAGAATTCTCAGAACAGTTTGCTGTAGCTCCAATTTATTATAAATTCTTCACCTTTATTTTTTTTTATCTTTTCTGCACAAAGACATCATGAGAGGAGGAGATTCTGTCAGAAGCAACTTGAACAATTCAAAATCCTGAAGAAGTTCTGAGAAAACATCTGGACCTGCTGACCAGAACCTTAACCTCTACGTCCTCCTCATCACCTCTCTGCAGAGCTACAGACGGTCAGACAGTCAATTCTTCACCCTGTTATGATCCAAATAATGTTTGTCCAGTGACGACCGGGTCACAGAGGTGTCGCTGGCAGAACCCTACAGGAGAGCCAGAGCAGGTTAAATCTGAATAAGCATCATTTATGGAGCTTCAGCTGACAGACTGCAGCAGGTCTTCCTTCTGCTACCTGCTGCAACAGGACCATCATTCTGCAAATCTGCAGCTCCTTCCTCTCTGAAGACTTTCTGCTTGTGGACATGTAACATCATGTGGCGGCGGGAGGTATTAATATTTTATACTACAACCTCTCTCACACTTTCTGCTTGTGTGTGTGTGTGTGTGTGTGTGTGTGTGTGTGTGTGTGTGTGTGTGCCAGTTATGAAGGAATTTCATGAACATGCCTTTCTCCTGGGGATTCCAGGGATGACTGTGGTTTATTTTAAAAAGGTTAAGGCCATCATGTGTTTCTGATTTAGATCTAATTCAAGTTGTCAAATAAAATATTAGCCCCAATGGGATTTCTAATCATTTCTGATCATAATCGCAGAGGAATGTGTTCCGTGGACTTGTAATGTGGGCAAGGCTCTCTTCTACGGAAACAAAAGGGCACGCATGTGGCACGGAGACAGGAGGGGAAAAAAGGAAGAGGGTGAAAGAGAATCACATCCAGAGATAGGTGGTGCATTCTGGCAGACAGTAGGAATCCATTTCACGCCCAGATGAAAGCGGTGTGAGAGGGGGAATGTGTGTGTGATAGGTGTGGCAGCACAGGGGTTAGGCCTGTTAGCTTTTCCTAGGTGGAGGAGGGAGGGAGGCAGCGCTCCATAATCCAGACCAATGCTCTTTCACTTCAATTAATGACAGACCAAAGGGGAAACCACAAGTTATTGCAGCCAGTTGTTTATTTAGCTTTTCTTCCTCCACAGATAGTTTTCCATCACAGTGACACACAGATAGAGCAGATTACAGCATTCCAGGGCTCTTAAACAATATTTCCAGTGACACTGTTGTTGTAAGACATACAAATCTATTGGACATAATTCTGCTTATTGTAGTTCTGTGTACAGTAGCTGTGATGGTACCTGTTGGTTTGTGGACGATGGGTCTGGCTTCACCATCTTGGTCTTTTAGAACTGAACAACATGAGTGAGGGTTATCTGACCAGAGGACACGATGCATACAGCAGCGTCTGTCAGTCTCAAACTAGCCATGCCCTGAATTATTGTTTGTTTCACTCTAAGTGGGACGATAACTTATGAAACGAACTTCATGTTGTACTAAAGGAGACTTCAAGCTAGTGACTGAGATCATAAACTTATTTGGAAGATGTTTACTGAGGCTCTGATTTGACGGAGAGTTGTGGTCATTTTCTCATAGACTTCTGTATAATTAAACTGCCTTTAGCAACCAAAGGAGCTGCCCCCTGCTGGTCATTAGTTAGAATGCAGGTTTAATTCTGCATAAAGCGGCTTTCACACAGGATGCGGTATCGCTGCACTCGCTGCAGGTTTCAGCGCACAGGTCGCAGATGAGCGAGCAAGATAGGAGGAGAGTTCATCACCGTCCTCTCAAGCAAAAAGCGTTCACCTGAATGCAAACACTTCAACAGAGAAGATGTAACTGTCCCGTGCTAAGTAGCCCGTATTAGCACTAGCTTTGCTAACACGCATTAGCACTGTTCAGTTAAATTAATATTTTAGCATATAGCACCAACTCATAACATGTCACTTTACAGCACTTCCCATAGAAAGGTAAAGACTTTACATCATGTCCTTTAACTTTTCTCCTCAAGTCTCAATACAACCACAAATTTGGCTTTTCCTGCACTTTGTCCTCTGTGCAGGTGAGATGCCTCCTTTCTACCGGCTGCCTGGTCTTACGTCATCACTCACAGAGTTCAAGCTGGTTGAACACGTTGGGCTCTCCGACCTGCACGTTGAACTTTGCTTGGCGATAATTGATAATTAGCTTTAAACACAAAGTACAAAATGATGGGAATTATGTTGGTTTTGTGAAAAATCTCCTCATATGTCAAAGCGCTGGACAAACTAAAGTCTTGAGCTGTCGATGATGATTCAGTCCAGTTACTGAGAATTCACCCTGAATGGGGCGTGACTGTGTAATGTCAACACAACAACAGCTTATAGGACGTTTACTCAAAAACAAACCTGTCAAAAGCACCACTTGTATGATAAATATCCACCAGCCGTCCACGCTGCTGCTCAGATCCACCGCTCTGGACTGACAGACTGACTCTGGTTGGACACCACATGCCACATCCAGCACAGTCCTCAAACTTTAACCAGTCGTATGTTGCAACGCTGCTTTGAGAGAAACTCGTCTCTACTGTACAGAAAGCTGCCAGGTGTGATTGTGTAAAACTATATCAGTATGAAGCGGCTCGAAATTAAATAATTGTGTTTGACTGAACTTGCCCACAAAGTGCTGGAATTCAGTGATGCCAAAGGAAACAAGCGCTGAAAGGTGCCGACGCTCATGAC